GGTCGACAGGGGAAGTCCACACATCTGGAGTAGCTCGTCGGCGCCTTCGCGATCTTTCAGTTCACGGACCAATCCCTTGGTTCTGGTATCTGGCCTAGAATCGCCTGAAGTCAGTCGCCTTGTGCTCGTCTTTGGGGTATATTTTGTACGTACCATGCGATCGCATTGCATAGTGGCAGCCCACTATTGGTATCCCAGACGACTGTTGTTTCACGCTGGTTGGTGATGCCGACTGCCTTGATGTCTTCGATTTCGTGTCCGTTGTCGAGGAAGATGTTCGTAGCCCTATCGATGCATTGCTCCACGGTGTTGATTATTTCCCATGGGTCGTGTTCATGCCATCTACGCTAATTAACCCATGTAAAGTCACGAGACATGCGCAGTACTGACCCTGACTGAGGATACTTTTGGGTGAACTCAATCTGATGTTGAGCTACGGGCTCACCGAGACCATCAAAGATGATGAAGCGGGTACTCGTGGTTCCTTGGTCTATGGATCCAATGAAGAACTGCCTCAACCTCCCCTCGTCCAGATGCGCCTGCGATTCGTCTCCAGCTTCTTCTCCCTTGGGGACTGGCTGTGGCTCAGTGTTGTGGGCGGAAATATCTTGTGTCGCCATGCTGAAAGTTGCGCTGGATGGTTTCAAATGTGTATGCGACCCGTTGTACTTATACGGAAGATGTCTTCCGTCCGCGGTCGGGGCTGTGGAATAGGTGCGACGGGTGCAGCTGTTGGTCGCGACGTGTTGCTTCCCGAAATTCGGCACCAAGAAGGGTACTGGGTATTGCGAAGGTACGGAAAAATTTCTAATCAAGCCAATCAGGTCTAAAAACCGATTCGCTTCTCTGCAGTGTCCGCGCTGAAGGATGTCTGGATTGCGCTGGGTTGCGTGTGAGTGTGCGGTGCCGCAGCAAAGCGCAATTGCCGATGACGTTGTTCCGAAGGTGCGGTGCGAAAGAGGTTTCGCGACAAAGAACACCGAATTTTAGGTGTATAAGTTTATGAGTTGAAATTGAGGTGGTAGAGAGAGAATCGCCAGGAGAGCATCGTAGGAGAACGAAGGTTTCGGTGTTTAATCGGCAGCGGAACCCGGGCGCGTGCCTTTCCTATGCGGTGTCTGCGGTATGACGCTCGAAGAGGGGTGGTTTTGCCTTTAAAGCGGGGGAGGGGAAGCGCTCCACGACCAACAACACGACAGCAAAGTCGCCCAGCCTCGTCACATGGAGCCTCAAATCTTTCAGCCTCTTCCGAGCTCGAGAGGCAAGCCGTTGATCGGTCTCAGCATCGTCGATCAGGCCAATGCTAGCAAAACTAGACTCTGCGCCCGGCAAAGCATCCGCGCGGGTGTCAGTGTGACTTCACATACAGCGGGTCGCGAGTCCAACAGATCCACATAAGACGACGCCGTCGTGTTTTCTCCAGTGGGACTCCAGGGGGCTCCGGTGGGATACCCGCATCGAACCCACCCAGAGCCTCATCAATTTACCAGCTTCGGCGGTATCACAACACGCGCACCGTGCTCACGATCTTGACAATAAGGGTTGGCGGGTTGCTCCAAGCTCCAGGAGTCCTTCACCGACCTTCGAACACCTTGGTCACCAGGCTGTCCACGACGCTCTTTGCTTCCAATGGACTAATGTGATGTCAGCAAGAGCTGTTCGCCTTCGGCAATGACTCGCTATCGTGCTGTGCCACCTGGGCTTACTACGCTTACCACCATGCGAATCGATGATTTGGATGGCTCCATGGATGGCATTTTGCGCGATGCACGCGAAAAGTCCGATGTCAATCACAACAAACATGCCATTGACGATCTGATTGCAATATCCATGGCTCCCCGCGGATGATCTGGACTTTGGAATGGGTCACCCAGCGAAGCTTCGAGACACAGAATTTTGGAACTCGGAGGTATGAGCATCGGAGCTGACCACGCGTTATGTGTGATGTGTTGCCGAACATGGGATAGTTATCGGTATAAAGTTAGGCATCCGTGCCAAGTGGAGCTAAGTGGGTAGGACTCGTAATGGCGGAATGCCAACCCAACGTTGCCCGGATCACGCCGGCACGTGATCCTCTGCATGGGGAAGGTCCGAGCGTGTCCTTTCCTCCTATCTCAAACCCACCTTCCTACCCGACGGCCATGTCCATATCATTGCTGCCCAAGGAACTTCGCCTGCAGATTTGGTCGCTTGCATACCACAACGAGCCCCCTCGCCTGGTTGCGCTGGAAACGAAGCCACACGCAGAAAGTCATGACGAAACGCATTTTTGCCCACGGTACTCACCTAGCCCTGCGCCGACTGTGGTAAACATATGTCATGAGTCGCGCGAAGAGGCTCGTTACCAAGCTATCAAAGCGGACCACATCGTGGAGCTGCCGTCAGACATTCCAGGTACCGGTGGGGGCGAATTCTACCTCCGCATCGATACCGACATCCTATTGATACAGCTGGAAGGGAAGCGCGTGAAGCATTATGACGACTCGCCCGAAGTAGGACTACTGGCTCACTTCAGACGTGCGACGGGCTGCAATCTCGAACAGCTGCAAAAGGTTGCTGTCACCAAAGTAATACTGAACGGATTTCGAGACGGTAGCCTATCCAACGTCCTTCGCGAGTTCCCAAAGATCTCGCATATGGTGATGATGCTCACAGAAGATATTTGGGAAAAGGATATGGAGAAAGAGCTATTTGTTCGCGCTGCTGCGAGGATAGTGCGCATGTACAAGCTCGATTTGATGAATCGAGCCAGCAGCCAAGGCACGACATTCAAGCCACACCCTTTCGACGTGGATTTTGCCAGGCTTTGCCACGGTCAGCTGGATATCGTAGCGAAAGATATGTGGAGAGATTGGAGTGATGGAGGAGACGAATGGGCGACGCTCGATAACTCTGATCCATTCTGGTAGTCTACGGAACATCATGATATATCCGATCACCCTTTTCCGGTAATTGAAGAAAATCTGGCGGCGTGTCTTCCGCTGCCGGCAGCTGGTGCTTCTCTGCCCAATTCCTGATCGCATCAAAGTTCCGACACGTATGGACGGTATTGAAGTCGACAAAGGCTTGCAATGGCTTGTCCGGAGGCTGATACCATACTTGACCCAGAACGCCATTGTCAACTGTGCACATGAGTTGTTGCCGCAAGATGTCGAGACAATGTGCTGGAGCTGGTAAGTAACATCTCCAGATGTATGCAAGGACGCTGACTTACTAACGTGGTGCTTCAGAATGTTCGCATCGTTGGAAAATGGGCCAAGCCCTTGCTTCTGGTAGTACTCGAAATTCCAAGAAAGGGACTTTCGCAACAGGTTCTACACTTGGTCAACATCTTTCCTGACACAGTCTTCGCAAAACCCACCAAGCAATGCAGATGGTGCAAGCCTTCCACGTGTGCCGGATATCCACCTCCGTATTCCTCCTTGATCTTTACTTGATCAGAGGCAAGGCCCGATTTTCCAGCCTCCTCGTTTGGTACTCTCGCGGCATGATCTAGTCATGGATGTTAAATACTGGAATCTCTGTACATCAGGAGAGCTTACAGTCGACACCCAACTCTTTCCACGCCGCATCTACTTCAGGTCCAGCATCCAGTCGATACGCGTTTGATACCAACAAGGATCCGTTGAACTGGATCTGGTTGTAGGTAACCCCGACATCCTTGATGATCGGAGCTGACTGGTATTAGCAGGACACTCTTCACATGCAGCTCCTCCAAACATACAGTACTGTGAGGTGTGCCTGATGCAAAACGCATCTGCGTCGAGTCGTTCCCTTTGAGCTATCCATGCTCCTAGGAAGGCAGAGAGTATAGCTGTGCCGAGGAACGCGGTAGCGATTGCTAGCCATGACCAATGCCGCGGTATCTGTCGCAATGGTCGCAAATCGAGCGAAGCTTCTTCATGTTCTGCAAGCAACCTCTCGCAGTCTCCATTCTCTCGATCATGTTCGTAACTTGGTCCTTTCTCAGTTTCGATGTTCGACATGGCGGCAATGAACAAGCGATGGAATTATGGAACCGGGTTTGAAGGTGAAGACAGAAGCTAGAAGCATGCCAAATCGAAAAAGCGACGATTAGCCATAGCCAAACATCGCGGATGGTGGTCAGTCCCACTCCCAGCTTCTAGCTCTTACCCCGCCTAAGCTGAATACGACACACGATGCGCCCCTCCATTCACGATCGCTGGTGGCGTTTTAGGGCTGAGCTGGGACACACAACCACCACGACCTGTCTCGTATACCTTGTCGGAAATAATGGTCATCATCTGCGCTAGACTTCGTTCGAGCAGCTTGCAGCGCGCGTGCCGCATTTTCGATAGCTGGCTTTTCGAACTCGATGCACCACCACAAGCATAGATACGGGACTAGAGTTGACAAGCAGAATCAATAGCACGATGCCAGCTACCATTACGAGCGCCACATCGGGTCTTGCGTAATCTACAATGCAAGATGCGGATTCTAAAGCGTCGAAGCTGTGTGGGGTTGCAGTGACATCTCTTCGACACCGGATGCCTACTACTCAGGTTCCAAAGCTGACATACACACCGAACTCAAGTGTATGACGCCAAAGTCGCTCTCAGCTCTCCACAAACAACCATTTGCTTTCTGTAAATGGCTTCACTCGGACAAAACCCTGACTACTCTCCACTCTTTCCCCAGCGCCATTCCTCCTGCTCCCCACTAAGCCCCCATACTCACGGCTTTGACCGGATCAAGCTCAATAGTCAGCCCGCCGCACATACGAGATCTAGTCTGGAATCACGCCACGGAAGAGGAAAGCCAGCGCACGATGTAGCTAAGACACGCGGGGGAGGCATGCGAGTAAGTAAGAGCTAGCTTCAGGTGAGCGATTAAAGGAACCATGTACATACATATATAAAGATGGTGCTCATTATGCATTTCCGTTTACAGCAGGACTCCATTCCTACTGCCTACCCATACAAGCCTCTCCATACTACTCATTAATACCAACTTTCTCTCTACAACCCCAAACATCAACTATGAAGTCCGTCCTATCTATCCTCGCTCTCGTAGCATGCGCTCTCGCCGCACCGGCCGCAGTTGCCCAGGGTAAATACAGCACGTACGGTATGCTATCTCCACCTATTCACCTACCTTCTTCGCTTCATTTCTCTCCCCTCTGAACTTCCTGCTCTCCGTCATACTAACAACAACAAAAAAGGCGACTATAAAAACGTTCCTGCGCCTGTGGGCGGATATGGCGACTACAAGAACGTCCCCGCCCCCAAGCCAGCAACCTACGGCGACTACAAGAACGTTCCTGCGCCTGCGGGAGGAAACTACGGGACATACAAGGGGTATGCGAAGGAGTAGAAGAGACTTATGGGCTATGAGGGTGTGTAGCATATAGACGTTGCACTGAAGCAGGCTCTCGAGATCGTAGTTCAGCCCAGCCCAGGACTTATGAATCATGAATCATAAACATCATACACATTTCCCCTCTCCATCTTCATAGCAGTGAACATCCGTACCCTAACCATCTTCCCCATCACAGCTGTCTAGATACGACACACATCATCACGCCTCAATCTTAACCCCAGACCCAATCTCCTTTATCCTACCTTCCAACCTCGGCGCAATAGCTTTCGTCCAGTTAACCTGGAACTCCGCGCCATCCAGCTCATCACACAGCTTAGGATTTCCCTTGAGCCCAGCAACACGCCACCATTTCCGCATCACACGCCTTATCATCTCCGTCTGCTTATCTGTAAACTGTATCGGGACTCTAGAGTCATACATCGGGCCATCGTCTTCGTCTTCATCTTGGTCTGGGTCTTCTTCTCCGAGGGTGTCGTGTGTGTTGTCGTCGCGTTGATTCTTTTCACCGAGATCTTCAACGGGATTGTTGCCGCGGGATTGGGTAGGCGAAGTAGGAGAAGGGTCATGGAACGCATGACCGTGTTTCTGCAGGTTTGTTTGTATGGACGCGAAGCGCGAGTTCATGGACTTGCCCCAGCGCTTCCATTTGCCGAGAACTTTCAGGGACATGAAGTATTGGCGGAGGATGGTAGAGATGAGGACGCCGTTTTCTTCCGAGACGATTTCTTTGGCGACGCCGCCTTCTTCTTCGATTAGGAGGGATGTGTAGCCATCTGGAGGGAGTTAGTAAGTGGTATGTCTTTGTTGAGGGATAGCGACGTACCTTTACCGCGGCCCATGTAGCCTCGTGTAGCAAGAACGTACTCGCGCGTCTCGTCCACGGGCTCTTCTCCGATTGTCACGTTTGTTACTCGCGAATGTGGTGGTTTTGAGTAGTCGGCTTCGAAGGTGATGTTGGAGACTTGTGGGAATCTTCCTTCGAGGGCTGGGTAGTTACTGACGCCGTTCTCCAGTGCTTCTCGTATGGCCTTACCGGTGACCTTTAGTACTACGACTGGGTCTTCGAATGGGAAGCAGTTGACCAGATCTCTGAGCTTCAACAGGCCGGGAGGATAGATCTGGTCACCGCGTATTGTTCCAGCGGCCATGATACAGCATTCTGCTGAGTAGTAGTAGCGCATGAGGTCGCAGACGAAATTGCCGATATTCGACTCCTTTGTTCGCACAGTTGTGAAACGCGCGTCAAGTGGCGCAGCGGTGTATCCGATCGGCTTGTCTAAGCGCTTTCTAATTTCCCGTGTTTGTTCTTCTACCAGCTCCATTGCCTGGGGATCTTGTGGTATGCTGCTGACAATGTCTCGCCGTATGATCTTGAAATCCCATCCTTTGCCTTCGGGCTTCCGCCACGCCTCGACGTGGGAGAGCTGTTTGAAGTCGGTGCCTGAACGCAGTACTTGGGTGCCGTTGATCAGGCTGTACGAGTAGTAGTGGTCGTGGCCGCCGAGGATGATGTCAATCAAGCCGCCGCCGCATTGCTTTGCCAGCTTGTTGTCATTGGGCTCTCGCTGATGCGACACGCATACGATAATCTCTGCGCCCTGCTCCTTCAAGCCAGGGATGAGTTCCTTCGCTGTCTCCGACGCGCTCTTGTATATGATGTCCGGCGGCAGCGCGTTGATTGTGTCCAGCCACTCTCGTTCTGCAAGTCCGATGACGCCAACTTTGATGCCGTTGGATGCTGTGAGCATGACCGTCTTCTTCGCGTTTCCGAGTGGGACGCCGTCGCCGAGGGCTGGATCGTGTACGTTTGCGAGGAGCCATGGGAACTTGCATTTGGCTGTGAGGTAGCGATACTGCTTGACACCAAAGTCAAGGTCGTGGTTCTGGGTTGTCGTTAGTTGAAGTCACCGTTCATGGAGACCGACATACATACTCCTACGCAAGAGACGTCTGTGCCAATGTTGTTCAACACAGGAACCATGTGGCTTCCTAGAATTAGCGTCAGTCTCCTTGCATACCCTCGGGCGGTTCAGCTAACTCACCCTTTGTGATACTACTCTCAATGCTTGGGTTGAACGCATCTCCAGAGAAAAAGGTCAGGAGCTTTGGTTGGTCATTGAACCTCTCGTCGTTTCTATAGTAATTGACGAGAGTTTGGAATCGAGCGTATCCGCCCACGGGCTCTCTCGACCCCGCTTCAACGTGGTAGACATCATTGTAGTGTAAGAAACGGAGGTCTGGCGGGGCATTTGGCGCGCCGCCTTCTGGCTCGCATATGAGCAGTTCTTCCGCTGAAGGGTGGTCTGTAGGTGCCATGATGAAGTTGGAGTCTATGTCATACGTGTTCCAACGCAGGAGATAGTCGTCGGGGGATTATGGTATCCAAGGCGTTCTTGTCGCGTGTTCGAGCGGTGAGCACGCCCCGACGCTGCTGTGCATCATCGAACGCAGCTAGCGCTTCAGGGTCCAGGCTGAGCTGCATGGCGAGGGCGCGTGGACCAATGACGATGACGTCTTTCTAAGTCGTGGGTGGATCTGCAAGGGGCAGTTTTGAGGCTGACTGGTGCCGTACCGCTGCCGCATGGCATGTATGAGGGGTCAGGAAGGACCTCTGGAATGGCGCGCATCATCAACGGTGCTACACGAAGCTCAGGCCACTTCAGATCCCTTGCAACAAGACTCGTGAATGCATGTAGGTACTTTGCTATGAACTACTTGCTCTGATAGATAGAGCAAGGGTAATGCCTCATATACAATAATGTAGCCAGCAAAGGCGAGGGCTGTGCTTCTCGATGCCATGTCTGGACGATGCAAAACGCCAGTGCCCTCCAAAGCGGATATCACCGGTCCAGAAATCATGATCATAAGAGAGAAGATGCGCCAATTACCCAAGCCCAGAGGGAAAACGCCGCGAAACCCACACAAGAATCCAAAGAAATGCAAACCGCGGTTGGAAGCTCCCTCTACAAAGCATTCCAACCATCCCAGAGATTTAACCTAGCCTTGCCCTTACCCTTCGGGCCTTGCCTAGACCCAGCTCCCGCTGGACCCGTCCCAGAACGCCTTGAACTCCTTCCTAATTCCTATTGCCTACTACTGCCTGGACGACCCCCCTTGGCCTTGGTCTTGGTGTGTGTCTCCTTGCACTCGTCACTGCAGAACCATTTGGTCCGGCCAGTGGGCGGTTTGTCAAGGTTGACACAAGCAAGATGGAACCACTCGCGGGGGCAGTCGTCGTTGTCGCAGGCAATCATGTTGCCATACGACACTTCGTTGCAGTAGCAGTATCGGGGCTCGTCGCCGTCTTCCTCCGCTTCCGATTCGGGCTCGGCTTCTACCTCGGCTTCTTGGTATTCCTGTTCTTGTGCGACGGAGCTTGCGGCGGAGGACGGAGGGTTCGATTTCACGTTGGGAACGGGTTTCATGGCGGGGGAGGCAGTGGCAGTAGTCGGTTGCGTGTTCTTCTTGTGGCCTCGTTTCGACCCGGTGCCTGTCGTGCTGTTGTTCTCGGATGAGGTGTTGGAGTTGGAGTTGCCATTGTTCGCGTTGCGACTGCTGCGACTTCTCGCCATTGATATCTCTGGGAACGCGCCAATGACAGGTGTCGCAGTCTTTGAAGTGCGACCGGGCCTTGCAGAGGCTGCTGCCGGCACAGGAGGATCAACGTCCATACTCTCTGGCTCAGGCTGTCCCAAATCTTCCAACTTCATGTTGGATGTGTCGAAGGGCGGCGGGACCTCTGCGCTCTCCTTGGGAGTCGATGCGCCCTTTACCGAGGTATTGTCCCGCACGATCCCAGCAGCCTGCTCAAGCTCTGTAATGACATTGCTACTAGCGGCTTGTTGTACGGAATGAGAAGAGGAGGGGCGCCGTGCCGCAGGAGCCTCTTGGTCTTTGAGCGACGCCACCGAGTTGGCTGTGGAGTTCTTCCGCGCACGTGCAGACAACGGCCGATCCGATGCACCGGCAATTGCTTTGTTGATGGCAAAATTGGCGGCCAGGGGGGACGATGCCATTGGGGGCGAATACGGCGGAAGCGGGTTCTTGCGTTGCGCAGGCACGGGAGCGGCACGCGGTTTGCGCTTCGCTGCGCCGCTCTCTGGACCTGGGGTACCCCGTGGGCTTGAGCCACCTCGTACGCCGTTGCTGGTAGCTTTCAGAGCATTGCTTATTGATCGCTCCATGGCCGGGGCAGCTGGTGCCGCTGCAGCGAGGGCCTTTTCGGTCTTCTTTCGCTTGCCGTGCGGACCTGCGCCATTGCTCGAGATGCCCAACCCGAGGTTCCTGTTGTCTGGTCCTGCTGTCTCTGCGGGTATGGGCTTCCTCTTCTGCGGCTTCTTAGCGGGTCGGTCGTCGAAGTCGGAATCGACCTGGTGATGACGACTGCGCTTGTTGGCCTGCATAGCTTCGCGTCTGGCCTCGCTCTTCGCCGCAATTGAGTCGACGTCATGCACATGCTGGGCTGCCGCGGCCAGATTGTTCGCCGCAGCCACCTCGCGCCGTTGTCGCTCGTGGTTTTGGCCGCCCTTTTTCTTCTCCTCCTTGTCCGCGTATGCCCAGTGTGTGAGGCTGCCGTATCGCGCTTCGTCGCTGATTTCGCCGTCGAGCTGGGAGAAGGAGTGGTGCATGCGCATGAGGCCCTTGTCTTTGGTGGCTTTGGCGCCCTGGAGGACTACCAGCTTCTCGTCGAGCGTGGGGAGCATGTTCGCGATGAGCATTCGGAGGCGAAAGAAGAGCTGGCGCTTCTGGATCGCTGCCTGCTCTTCGGGGGAGAGGTTGTCGGGGTTGGATGGGTTGAGCTGCGAATGGTGAGCCTGGGGTAATGGCGTGCGCTCAACAAGAACGTACATTGGTATTGTTTTCGGATGCTGTAGAGGCCTGTTCGACAGCCGCCAGCTGCGCCTTGGTGGTGACGGGCTGCTGGGCGATCTCGTCAAGCAGCTCCGTGAGCATCTGCTCTGGGTCGTGGAGTTTCGCCTCGACTTCCTTGAACA